CCCCTGTAAACCTTTTTTTTTTAAAAGCTTAATAATTCCAGATTATGGATTTGAACTAACAAAAACGATTTACTTAAAAGTGTTTCGAAATTAGAACGCTTTGTGTAAAAGTACACGTCTCTATAAATCATGTTCCACTCCCGCCGGAAATAAACGCAAGAAAACAATTAACACCGCATTCGCTTCTCAACACGTTCCACTAAAAAACCGTGTCTCAGATTTTTCACAAGTGCGTTTGTTTTTCTTTTATTAGCAAATGAAGTTGGGGAAGGCAATGAGTCAACACTCCCTGTGGAAAAAAAGCTCTAGCTTTAAAATGAAAAGGAGTATTAAAATTCGCAGACACGGTTTTGTAGAAGAGATATATGGCATCACTCTGGCCAAATTTTAGCCAAATTGATTGAAAGGCTGCCGACTTGGAGTTCAAAACGTACGAGTCGGTCGGCAAAATTTGCGTTCGGAGATAAAATAGAAAATACATTTTTCGCGGCATCCTACCTGGAATGAGATTATAACACCTAAATGTTTATTCTGATTGATATCAGAGAGGGATCAATTTTCTCTAACAATAGGACTTTGACAGGTAACTTGTAACAGGAACAAACTTTCGCGGCAAGCAAGTGAACAGTTTAATTCTCCGTTGGAAAACTTCCACTCTTTTACACCACGAGAAGCACGGTTTAATTCTTTCTCGAGCAAACGTTTTGCCTCTCCTTCGATCTTTTTTGTATGATCCGCCCAGGCATTTTTGTTGATCGGCGCCAGGCCAAGGAAACTAAAAAACTTTGAAGCAGCTTTTCGCTCGATACGATAGCTCGACCGCTTATTGTTTTCCACGTTCCATCAGCAGATGGGGTCGATGAGCTTAATTGGCTTTCTTCATTTGGTTCTTCAAGCTGGATTTTGGAGCAGCTTGCACTCTCAGTAACTGCAGGATTTTCGCTTTCCAACTCCTCAGGCCACTTCTCTTGCTGATAAAATGAGCCCTTATCGCTCTCTGCCAATTTTCCGGCTGATTCTTTGTCAAACTCGCTCTTCGATTTCTTTTTCGCTCCCGGTTTCGATGACGAAATCGGACACGACCTTTTCTCTTTTTTTGGCGGCTTTTTTACCGAAGCAAACGCTAAATATCCACGGAGAACAATACTAAAGGCTATAAAACAACCCGAAGACAATTTGCACGTGCTGTGTCGAAACACGCAGTCAGTATCACGTTACTAGTTCACAGGCAAGTTAATTGATATATGGCAGGGGTGGTCCGTGTGGTTTTCGTCCATTTGATTTTGATTCCAAATTGAAAATTGAAAATCAAAAATTCACGATCGTGATTTTCAATATTTGATTTCTCAAGAATTGAAAATCACAAATTTAAAATCTCAATTGTCAATTTTTGTTTCTAAGAAACATAAAACTGAAAAACAATTTTCAATGTTTTGAAAATCAAAAATTGAAAATTGAAAATGGTTAGTTGGTGGATTATAATTCTTGTTTTTAAGGAAAAGGAAAACTAAACGATAATCTTCAATTTTGAGATTTTTGCTTGGTACCGAAGTTAAAATTGTATTTTCAATTTCCTATTCCATAGATTCCAGCTTATTAAAAATTCAAACTTGACAAAGCTATTCATGTGTAACGAAACTGCGGGAAACAGTATCAATGATGATGAAATCCGAAATGTAAATCGTTTTTTGATTTTCGTAGTCGAGAAAAACAAAAATTGAAAACAGACCATATATAACTGTGACGGGTGGGGGAGGGTAAAACCGGAAGTGGCACGACTGCAAACAAGATGGCGGTCGTCTTGTAGTGAAGGAGTGTTCTTTGTTTTCGTCGAGCCGTCTCTGGGGGAAATGTAACGCCAACAGCAATCTAAAGCTTGCTGAGACGTTTTCAAAGAAATGATCTGCATGTTCTTTCATTGATAAGTATGCTTTTGTTGTAACCTTGCAGCATTATACGTACGCAACGCAGCCGGGTAGAGCGTTCCAGATCGGCTGCGAACTGTAAACCGAGGCCGTACTGCGGACTGCAGACTACGGACCACGGACTGCGGACTGGGTATATATAAAATACGGACCAGGTATAAAATGCGAACTACGTGCTATGTTTTTAGTCTGATAGTATTGTCACTCGACCCTAACCATGTATAACTCCTTTCACGTTGTTGTTAAATTGAAGGAATTTTCGCTCTAACAAGAAAATCTTTTAAGATAAGAACCAATGGGGGCGTGGGGATATATTTGCGCGAGTGTGTTTTTGCTCGTAATAAGGTGCAAGTGTTTCATTAGAATCTTTTTGAGATTTTGGGTTTATTTGATAAAGCCGCTTTGCGCGATTCGAAGCGCAGTTCGGCTAGGATTGTTTCCACAAGGTCGTGAGGGTAGCCTCGTTCTGTAAGGCGAGTTAAAAACTCTTTCTTCTTTAACTCCAGTTATCGGGAATTATTCCTTAACCGAGTTCGTTTTGAGTAAGTGCAAGGCTATTCCGTATACGAAGCCCTTTTTAACGATGACAGGGTAAAATAAGGAGAAATTCGCATCTTAAAACGTTTCTGTCGGCTTAAATAATGTGTTTGAATCGAATGAATCTTGATCCTTTAAAAACTTCAGTGGCCAAGGAAAACAATTTGTTTTGATGACAGTTCGTCAGTGTAAATTTTATTGTTGTGTGGAAAGAGTTCGCGAAATCAATAAAGTTGTTGATTTCGGACTCAGAAAGAGTCCACACTGAGAATGTGTCATCAATAAATTTCTTCCAGCCGGAGAAATGGCTGTAAGGGCTCGCATGTAGTAGTTGTTTCTCAACGTGAGCCATGAAAATGACCGAGAAAGCAACCGCGATTTTGGTGGCCATTGTAATGCCGTGAGTCTGTACGTAGTGTTTGTCGGTGAATTTGACTTAGTTTTCTGTTAAGATCACCCGCATTAAGTCTCCCAAATATGAAGTAAGGATAGGTAACTTTGACTGATGACTGATAATGTTCTTCGTAATGGTGACAGACGATGTCGATTCCCTCTTCCTGGGAAATGCTAGGGCAGAGACAACACACGTTTAGCGTAGCTTAAATTGCTTCATCTGGAAGAGGCGTGTTTTCAATGATATCACTTTTGTGTGCAGTGTCTTCGACGTAAGAATCTTGTTTTTGCGCGATTGGCCTGGTTAAATCGAGTCCACAAAACTAGAAATGTGTTCTTTGGGACCACTGCTACCAGAGACGATTGGTCTGCCGGCAGGAATAGTTTTATGTGTTTGGTCAGCGTGTAAAACACTGGTATTCTTGGTGATTTTGGCCAAAACTGAGCCACTTGTAAGTCATTTGAGCAATATGCTCGTTTGTGAACAGAGCGTTTATAGTTGATATCTCTTTTGTGGCTGTTTCGGATACAATCGGTTAATGTTCATCTTAGATTTCCAAAACCGGTCCTGCTATTAAAGTTTATTTAAACAGTTCTTATCAAGACTCTGCGGCTACCATTGATTGCTAAAGCCTAAATCCCTTCACTTTAACAACAACAAAGGAGTTATACACGGTTAGGGTCGAGTGACAAAAGTTCGTTTACGCAACAGGACGACAGAAAGAAGAGGACGGCAAAAGGATTGTGTGTGACAAACTTGACAGGGCTATAAATTGCGTGTTTTTCGTGACCTTCACTTCACATTACTGTTTTTTGGTCTTTCACTCTGTTTAAAGGAAGGTGATGTTTGTCGGAAAGTTTTTTCAAACAAAATTATTGTCACTCTTATCACACAAGGTTTGACGTCTTCTTTCCTCTCCCGTCCTGTTGCGTAAGTTGACTAATTACCATTACACTAAGACATAATACGTGGTTCGCATTTTATAACTGGTCCGTGTTTTACATATACCCAGTCCGCTGTCCGCAGTCCGCAGTCCGCAGTCCGCAGTCCGCAGTCCGCAGTCCGCAGTCCGCAGTCCGCAGTCCGCAGTCCGCAGTCCGCAGTCCACAGTCCGCAGTCCGCAGTCGGCGGTCTATCTTTTATACGGCCCGATCTGAAACGCTTTACCCTGCGTAGAGTAATGCTGCAAGGTTACAACAAAAGCATATTTATCAGTGAAAAAATATTCAGCTTAATTCTTTGAAAACGTGTCGGCCATGATACAGGCAGGCTTTGGCTTCCTGTTGGCGTAACATTTCCGCTAGAGACAGCTTGACGAAGACACGCAACACGAAACACTCCTTCGCTGCAAGGCGACCGCCATCTTGTTTGCAGTGGCGCCACTTCCGCTTTTATCCTCCCCTCCCATCACAGGTATTTTTAGTCGGTTGGCAATTTTTGTTTTTCATAAATAGGAAAATCAAAAAACGATTTTCATTTTGGATTTCACCAGCATTAATTCTTCTTTACACATGAAATTGCTTTGTCAAGTTTGAATTTTTAATAAGCTTGAATTTAGGGAATAGGAAATTGAAAATACAATTTTAACTTCGGTACCAAGCAAAAATCTCAAAATTGAAGATTATCGTTTAGTTTTCCTTTTCCTTAAAAACAAGAAATAAAAACCACCAACTGACCATTTTCAATTTTCAATTTTTGATTTTCAAAACATTGAAAATTGTTTTTCAATTTTATGTTTCTTAGAAACAAAAATTGACGATTGAGATTGTAAATTTGTGATTTTCAATTCTTGAGGAATCAAACATTGAAAATCACGATTGGGAATTTTTGATTTTCAATTTTCAGTTTGGAATCAAAATCAAATGGACGAAAACCACACGGACCAGGGGTATGAAAGATCTTGTCAACGATCAATAAAGATAATTAACGAGAAAAAATCTTTAACCCCCGATATCTTTCGACAGAAATAATATTTTCTTCTGATTTTTTTTTTAAATGAAAGCTCTCAAGCATACCTATTTGAAAACGTTGAAACCTCAAATATGGAAAAATGGCAATTTTAAGGGTGGCTGATACCTTAAAACCTATAGTGCGTAAAGGCTGCGACTATATTCGTAAAGACGAGAGTTGTTGGACTTTGGACGATGTCTCATGTGGTTCAGGAAGCCAATTTGTCGTGTTCGTCCGGGAAAAATGGTCAAAGTGTTCGTCGTTCAAGTACCCGTTCGCGGAAGCCTAATTCTTCGCTGGATCAAGAAGCAGTTACAATGGAAAGAATCCGAGAACTTAGAAAGAGAAGAGGCGGAGTGCTCTCTGCCTTGATGGCCAAGCGTAAAGAAATTGGCAGCTTATTAACGGATGAGAACAATCTTGAAGCAGTCAAGGTGAAACTGACAGAGATTACTTCCTTTTTTCAAAGATTTACAGATGCACACGAGGAGTATAATGCTGCCCTAATCGATGAGAGCCAAAGACAGGAATCAGTAGTTTACTTCACTGACATTGAGTCGAGTTTGAATTTCTTCTGTCAAACGGTTAACGACTGGTTACGTGTAACGGAGATCCGGATTCAAGACCTTGATGTTACTCCCGATGACAGTGTCTCACAGACATCGTTCCTGTTAAGGAACAGGAAACGATCCGGTTGTGGTTCGGCGCACAGCCGATCTTCTCGAGCTAGTTCCATTTCTGTTGCTAGGGCAAAAGAAGCTGCGAGAATTGCAGAGCTTCAAGCCGAAGTGAACGCCCTAAAGCAGCGTCAGCTCATTAACGAATCTGAATTACGGCTCAAAAAGGAAGAACTTGATCTCAAGTTTAAAAAGGATCAATTAAAACTTGAAACGGAATTTAAGAAAGCAGTAGCCAGGGAAAGCGCGTATGCGAAAGCTTATTCAGAAAGGAACACGCGTGTGGCGTCTTCCTCGCTCACCTCTCGCGCTACTCGCGTGGATCCGCGCGCGGCAGCCATTTCTGATAGTTTTTCTGGAGATTTAAAGCAGGAATCATCTCCGGTCTTCCATGATGCCAATTTCAGACCTAAAGAACACAAGACTAAACACAAGGTTCCAAGTCAGTCCAGTTCAGACTCTGGTGAGCAGTCTGGCCTTAGTGACCAAGCCTTTCACATCCTTGAACAGCAGAATCGTGTCATGGAGGAGTTTGTGAATCAGCAGCAGAAAAAAACGCTACCCGAAGGCAGGTGCCTATCTTTGACGGGAATCCACTCAGCTCCTGCACCTTTATACGTGCCTTTGAGACTGTAATCGAGAGTAACGAGAGTGATAGCGGTGGGAGACTGTACTATCTTGAGCAGCATACGAGTGGAAGAGCGCGGGAGATCGTGCGGAGTTGTATGTACCTAAACCCAGGAGAAGGCTACTCTAAGGCGAAGAAGCTGTTGGAGGCTAGATTTGGCCAAAAGCACAATATCGCGATGGCTTATGTCGACCAGCTAACTAATGGTCCCTACATCAAAGCTGAGGACGCCGAGTCACTGGAGGGTTTCTCAATTCTTCTGTCAAGTTGCACAAATACACTGAAGGCTATCGGATACTTAAACAAGATTGAAGGTCCGGACAACATGAGAAAGATTATCGAGAGACTGCCACCTAAACTGCAGAGTAGCTGGCGGGACCATGCTGATCGTATCCTCAATGCGGACAAGAGAGAAGTTTGTATCGAAGACATTGCGTCATTCGTTGAGGAGAAGTCACGTGCCCTAAGTAATCCAATCTTCGGAAAACTTCCCTTCTTGGCTAAGGATAAGAGGAAGAGCCAGACACGAGGGACGAAATCAAAACCCGAGGGTTCTGGGCCTGGTCCTAGAGAGCTTAGTAACTTCTCCACTTCATCTCAGAAGAGTCCCATGGATCAAAACAAGTCTCAGGAGAAGAAGTCTGAAGATCTCTCGAAAAGGAGTTGTTTGTTTTGCCGTCAGATCCATAAACTCGTAGACTGTCCAGCGTTTGCTAAAATTCCCGTCCGTGAGCGTTACGACTTTGTGATGAAGCAAAGACTCTGTTTCTCGTGTTTGAGAGGGGGTCATCAATCAAGGGGATGCTACAAGAAGAAGCCGTGTTCACACTGTAACGGAAGACATGCTTCGCCTATGCACTCTGATTCTTCAGAAGATAAGCACGAGCAGCCGACATCTGAGAATGCGAGTCAACAACCTGCTAGAGCCAGAGAGAAGGAAGATCAGAACAGATCCCAGCAAGGTGTTAATCAGAAGAGTTTATTAAGTGATGAGTCGAGTGGCGTAGAGCGAGTCTGCAATTTGACGACCACAGTGGGTCCTGCGACTGCTTTGCCAATCGTACCAGTAAAGGTCAGAGCACAAGGAAGTCCTTTTTGCATCGAGACTTACGCCCTCCTGGACACGGGTTCTAATTCCACTTTCTGCTCTAACATGCTTTTGAATCGTCTTGGCGTTAAAGGCAAGCATTTGAAGTTGAAGTTAACTACGATGGGTACGGCAGAGGAGGTTGATAGCGTCGTGGCCAGCGGTTTAGTGGTGTCGGACTTGGATGAAAATGTTGTTGTCCCATTAAGAGAGGTTTATTCCAGACCTACTATGTCTGTGTCTAAGGATGAAGTCCCCCAACAGGAAGATGTAGATAGATGGCCACACCTTAGAGGCTTCGTCTACCTAACTGAGCTTAACTCTCAAGTTGATCTATTAATTGGGTCAGATGTCCCAGAAGCTTTACAACCGAAAGAAGTTATTCCAGCTGTCGGAGGAGGCCCCTACGCTAGTAAGGTGGCGTTCGGTTGGGTAATCAATGGCCCAACAGGAAGAAAGCCAAGATATGTCCCTTCTGCTTGTTACCTCACCAAGTCTATTGACGTCCATCCTATGTGCGTGGCGTGTGCTGACTTTGCGGATGCGTGTTTAAATGACGGCTCAGGAATGTCTCGTGAAGATATGAAGTTCATGAACATTGTGGAAGAGTACCGAATGACCGTGCATCTTTTCGGTGCAGTTTCGTCGCCTAGTTGTGTCAATTTTGCCATGCGTCGAAATGCTGAAGATCACCAGCACGAGTTTTCGCCTGAAGTCGTTTCTACTGTTCTGAAGAATTTCTATGTCGACGACTGCTTGAAATCTCTACCTTCCAGTCATGAAGCAATTAAGCACGTTTGTGATCTGCGCAACCTGATGAATAAAGGAGGCTTTAACTTGACGAAATGGGTCAGCAACGATCGCCTGGTATTAGAGTCCATACCTGTCGAAGATAGAGCGAAAGGAACTAAAGAGCTTGACCTAACCTGCGATGTTCTCCCAGTAGAGAGGGCCTTGGGTGTGTCATGGTTCGTGGAGGCTGACCAGTTTGGCTTTAAGGTGTTCATGAAAGATAGGCCGTGTACTAGGCGTGGCATACTTTCAGCGGTCAGTTCGTTATATGATCCTCTGGGTATGGCAGCTCCTTTCATTCTTCCCGCAAAGCTTCTCCTACAGGATTTGTGCAGACGGGGTTTGGGGTGGGACGACGAGGTCCCAGATCTTCACTTGACCCGCTGGCGAGCGTGGGTAGACGACCTACCGAAGATTTCCCGAATTGCCATTGGAAGGTGCGTCAAACCTGTCAAGTCCTCGGATATCGCTTCATGTCAGATCCATCATTTCTGCGACGCCTCTCAGGTGGCCTATGGCGCCGTATCATATCTTCGCTTAGTCGACATGCAAGATCGGATATTCTGTTCATTCCTCATTGGCAAGTCCCGCCTGGCTCCCTTGAAGGTAACTACTATCCCCAGATTGGAATTGACGGCTGCTACCGTATCGGTCCAGCTGAACAAGATTTTGACGAAGGAGTTGCAGATACCCATCGATAAAGTGACCTTTTGGACAGATAGCATGACCGTCATACGATACATCGCGAATGAGTCGAAGCGTTTCCATACCTACGTTGCAAACCGCGTTGCCTTCATCAGAGAGGAATCCTGCCCGTCCCAATGGAGATACATCGACAGCAAATCCAATCCCGCTGATGAAGCCTCGCGGGGCGTTACGGCAGACGTGTTTGTTCGTAATGGCCGTTGGTTAAAGGGGCCGGTCTTCCTTTTAACAACCGAGACTGAGTGGGCGGACCATGTCCAAGAACGCGCAGAGCTGACCGAGAATGATCCGGAAATCAAGAAAGAGCCAAAATCATTCGCTGTATCCGTCAGTGAAGTTTACGCAAGCGTTGTTCGTATCGTGAAACGTTTTAGCTCCTGGATGAATTTACTGAAATTTATTGCAGTGTGTGTTCGTTGCCAGAGAAGATTTCGAATAAGAAAGAGAGAGCCTGGCCTGAATGGTCACGGAAATGTTGGTCCCCTCAGCCTGGAGCCAATGTCTTGTCAAGACTTAGACTTTGCAGAAAGAGAACTAATTATGTTTGACCAGAGGAATGCATTTCCTGAGGAAATTGAAACCATCAAGAAAGGAGGCTGTGTAAAGAAGTCAAGCTGCCTTGCAAAATTAAGCCCAGTCCTAATTGGTGGTGTACTTCGCGTTGGCGGACGACTTAGCAGAGCTCCTTTACCTGACGAATCAAGGCATGAGATAATTATGTCCAAGGATTCTCCACTTGGTGTTCTGCTTATCAGGTTCTTTTACGAGAAAAGTGGTCACTCTGGGAGAGAATACGTGCTAGCCCTCTTGCGCGAGCGATTTTGGTTGATTCGAGCCAACACAACGGCAAGAAGTGTACTGTCGTCCTGTTTCTAGTGTAAACGTCGCCATGGCCCCGCTGGAGAACAGAAAATGGCTGACTTACCTCGTTCCAGGGTCACTCCAGATCAACCCCCTTTTACATGTGTTGGAATTGATTACTTTGGTCCTTTCCTTGTCCGCCAGAAGAGAAGCTTGGTAAAGAGATATGGAGCTATTTTCACATGTTTGGCTTTGAGAGCAGTCCATCTGGAGATTTCCCACACATTGGACACGGATTCCTTTATCTTAGCTCTTAGAAGATTCATTGCCCGCAGAGGTCAGGTTAAAGAGATTCGTTCAGACAATGGTACGAATTTCACGGGAGCTGAAAAGGAACTTCGCGCTATGATCTCAAGTTGGAATCAGGCCATGATTCACGACACCCTTCTACAGAAAGGCATTAAATGGGTCTTCAATCCTCCAGCGGCTTCCCACCACGGTGGAGTCTGGGAAAGACTTATCAGATCCACTCGCAAGATTCTTGGAGCCTTGACCAAGGAGCAAGTCCTTGACGACGAGTGTCTTCAAACCTTATTGTGTGAAGCTGAGAGTATCATTAATGGAAGGCCGCTGACCAAGGTCTCCGACGATCCTAACGATTTGGAGTCTCTTACGCCGAATCACCTCCTACTACTTCGCCAAAACGAATCTCTACCACCAGGGCTATTTGAAAAGAACGACACTTATTCCAGGAGAAGATGGCGTCAAGTGCAGTACTTGGCAAATGTGTTCTGGGGTCGCTGGAAACGAGAATATCTTCCTTCGTTGCAGGAGCGCCAGAAATGGTTTCGACCGAGAAGAAACTTCACTGTTGGAGACACGGTTATCGTTGATGAATCGACGCCCAGGAACGTGTGGCCGATTGGTCGAATCACAGAAGTGTTCCCAGATAGAGATGGTTTCGTAAGAGTCAAAACCAAGACCTCTACTTTGGAGCGACCCATTACGAAGTTATGTTTGCTGGAATCAATTGAACATTGAAAGTGTCTTGTTTTCCCGGATTTGTTCAAGAGACTTTGCGTGACTTTCACTGAGCTTACGTGATGTTCTATCAAGTTTGAACAATGAAGCCTGTTGAGGCACTTAGGCCTTCGTGACACTATTTTTCGCTTAAGGAGTTTGGCGTTAAAGAAGATTATTGTTTTCGATAGTTAATTTTTTGTGCTAGTTCCTGGCTCCTTTTTCTAT